TGGCGCCACTGTGAACCTGACAATATGTGAGCTCCTGGTTGTTCAGTGAGTGAACCAAAGGAGCCACGCCTGCATTAATTTAGCAGATGCTACTGGAACACGTCTAGGCAGGGCGTGCTCCCATCAGTAGAAGAGACTTGGTTGCAGCCCCATGGACAATCGTCAGAGACCCACACAAGAAAGTGACTGGTTAGTATAACTGTGGAAAAGCATGGGCCGTGAGTGTATGTGGTCAACCCATTCTGAGTGTGCGTGTTGGGGGGCAGTCAGGGATCTGAAGGATGGAAGAGTAGGAGCCGCCTGGACAAGGGTACTTTATGAGGGAGGATGGAGAGCATTCCAGACAGAAAAACAAAACAGCATGTGCAGACCCTGAGGAGGCAGGAGCGGGTGTCAAGGGAAATGAAAAAAGGTCCGTGTCTGAGGCCGAGGGAAAGGGATGTTGTGAGGAGGTTTTTGTTTGCAATAGAAAGCCTGATACACAGTGGCTCAAAGGATGAGGAAACCGGATCCTCTCACCGCGCATGTGGCAGCTGCAAGATTGGTTCAGGGACTGAATAAAGGAAACCGGGGACCCAGGTTCTTTCTGTATTTCTGCTCTGTCCTAACCAGCAAGTTGGCTTTTCCCTGGGCTTATTCCCCCTGTGGTTAAAGTGGCTGCCACCGTTTCAAGCATCATTTCCAGTCATGAAAACGCACCGTGGAGCCTGGCCAGTGTGGCTCAGTTGATTTGAACATCGTCCCTGCACCAAGGGTCATGGTTTGATTCCCAGTCAGGGCACATACCCAACTTGCAGGTTGGACTGCTTCTTCCGGTCTTCTTTTTTTATTATGAAAACCTTTCCCAGAAGCCCCCTGGCCCTCTAAAAACCGGATGAAGACAGATTGTTCAGCCAATTGGGACTTCTCCAGGAGTGACCAGAAAAGATGTGGGGCTCCACCAGTCCAGCCCCACCCATCCCCCAGCTGGTCTCTCCGCCCTGGCCTCCCTTGAAGGACCTGCTCTCAGGGCTGGATGATCAGCCTCCGCCCATCTGCAGACTAGAGGAAGCTTTTGGGGGGACAGCAACAGGAACCACGCACTAAATGGGCTGGCCCTGGGGTGAGCGTGGGAGGTGCCTAGCCTGGGGAGAAGGGGCAGGTCTGAGCAGGGCATCACCCACAGGCCGGCGGGAGGGGAGAGGATACCCGACGGGGAGCTCCCCGCTGGCGGCCATGGAAACCCCCTCCCCCCCTTAGCCGGCATCCCAAGGAAGACGCGTTTCCACTCCGTCTCCCGGAACCGGGAAGCCGGTGTCATCGGTGTCATCGGGTGTGTGCTCCTCCAGAGGCGACTCCTCCTCGGCGGAGGGGAGGCAGGGAGGAGGGCAGGGCACGGGGTGGGGGGAGGGGGAACAGCCTGGCTGGGCGGAGGGTTGGGTGAAAGCGGCTGCAGGAGCCGGGGCGGGGCCTCATCCCGTGGCAACTGTGAGTCACCGCGGGCAGGGCGGGCCGGCCGGTGTCACGCACGCGGACACGTGCGGGGGGAGAGGGACTACGCCCCGGACAGACGGTGCAGGCCTCCGTCGGGGCCAGAGGCGCAGACCCGGAAGACGCTGGAGGGGGGGCCGCGCCCCGCGAAGAACCGCGGTCCCAGGGGTGGGTCGTGGGCGGGCTCCTCCTGGCGGCCACGCTGAAAACAAGTCCACGGGCGGGGTTCCCGGGGTCCTCGCCTTCCGGGTGACTCACCGCCGGAGGAATCTGGCACACAAACACCCCGCGGGACCCGACGGGACGGGCGTGGGTGGTGAGGCCCAGAAGGCGAGGGACTCGGCGTGGTCTGCGAGCTCCAGAGCCCAGGTCTCCACAGGGCGCCGTGCCCAGGGACGCCCCCGTGCCCAGGGATGCCCGGTGCCCAGGTATTCCCCTGAACCCAGGGATGCCCGGTGCCCAGGGATGCTCCGTGACACGGATCCCCCGGTGCCCAGGGATGCCCGGTGCCAAGGATGACCCTGTGCCCAGGGATGCCCGGTGCCCAGGTATTCCCCTGAACCCAGGGATGCCCGGTGCCCAGGGATGCTCCGTGACACGGATCCCCCGGTGCCCTGCCCAGTGCCCAGGGATGCCCCTGTTCCCAGGGATGCCCTCGTGCCCAGAGATGCCCCCGTGCCCAGAGATGCCCTCGTGCCCAGAGATGCCCCGTGCCCGGCGCTATGGGAGGGCAGTTCAGAGGCCTGGGCCCTGGGAGCGCCGCCTGCAGCCCAGAGCTGAGCCCCGGAAGACCAGGGGGCTGAGTGTCCCCCTCCTCAGGGGACGGGTTCCTGGAGGGGGCAGGACGGCTGCTGAACTGAGCAGGGGAGGGTGCGTGCCTAGACGGGGCTGAACTGGGGCTGTAGGGAGCATCGGATACAAGGGTGAGAGACCGCCGGCGTGTGTGTTTGGAATTGGGATGGGGGTGTGGGTCTGCTCTGGACGGGCCTGGGCCAGCCTGGCGGAGGCAGGAAGTGGACACAGGCTCGGGGCACGTGCTTTAATGAGGCCTCATGCCGAAGG